TCGGCCGGTTGCTATTCACGACTAGAGTCGCGAACTGCCCTCCCGGCGAGGTTGGTCAAACGAGGAATTGACTCCTCGGCCGGTTGCTATTCACGACTAGAGTCGCGAACTGCCCTCCCGGCGAGAGTGGTCAAACGAAGAATTGACTCCTCGGCCGGTTGCTATTCACGACTAGAGTCGCAAACTGCCCTCCCGGCGAGGGTGGTCAGATGAGGAATTGACTCCTCAGCCGGTTACTATTCACGACTGGAGTCGCAAACTGCCCTCCCGGCAAGGGTGGTCACACGAGGAATTGACTCCTCGGCCGGTTGCTATTCACGACTGGAGTCGCGAACTGCCCTCCCGGCGAGGGTGGTCAAGCAAGAAGTTAGTCGCGGAGAAACAAAATAACATGCTGTGGTGGAACCTCCGATTAAAATTTGTGGATGGACTTACTACTTACTGCGGACCCGTGATAAAAGGTTCTAGGCTGTTGCGGCGCAGTAATTCACTCTTGGATCTCACATTCTGCACTCACTGTCACTCACTCACTCGCTGTGGCACTTCTAAAACCTGCGGTTTTAACTAGATACGCGGCGCGGTTCTTTCTCGTTTACGATTCCGAGAGCTCTGGCTTATATACTGTTTTGAGTAAGCGAGGACTCTCCCAATCGGGAACTCAGTTGAGCCTTGCTGGTTCCTATTTGTTAATTAGTTGGTCGGGCGACTTGCAAGATCACCAATCGGCGACGATCTCTCGCTTCGTCGCCTCGTCCGATTTTTCGGAGAAGGAAAAAAGGGAGAGTGTTGTCTTTTCGACAACGCCGCATAGACCCTTCGATATTTATCGAGTGATAAACCTTTTTTATGTAATTGCTCGTGGCGACGGATCTTTACTTGCGCCGGCTGTCCTAAATTTTATAGGATGTATTTCTTTGACCCGGAGATAACCGGGTTTATTTGGAAAGTTGCTCGGGATGTTTAGACAATAATATTAGTTTCTGTTCGCTATCGTCTACGAAGGAATTTTTAAGATCGTTGCTAGGCTCGGTTTATTGTTTTCGGGCGTCGACACGATTTCTATTTGCCCGCCTATCGCGTCGAAGTCCGAGTCCGTTCGTGTTATTTATTGAGAAAAAAAGGAATTTATTGTATGTTGGCGCATCACGTTGCAAGAAAAAGGGGCCCGTGGAGTCCCCAGGACGTAACATATATTTATGTTAGACATGAATAGATGAGCAAGTAAACGTGGTAGAATAGAGTTACTGGCGAAAGTCCACATTAAAAAAACTGAACGCACTGTAAGTGGCACTTCATGGGTAACGTGGAAGACCGCTTGAAATAGTACTTTTGCTCATGAGGTATATTAATATAATATTTTATTTTTCATAAATTATAATATTATTTTAGAAAATTGATTGAGATTTGTAATATTGTTTGAAAACCGCCTTGCCCACGGTTTTTGACCATAGTTTTCCCGTGGGCCGTTGGGCAAATGCCGAGGCGGGGCTTCCCATTGTTGAATGGTGGGTCCACGCAAGTTCCTCTCCCCCACTGTCCGAAGTTCGGAAAGTTGCGAGATTGTCGGAGCCCTAAAGAAGAGAATTTCTCAAGAGGAATTTCTTCGACAGGTCAGCTTGAGATCCTGTGACAGCAGTCCAGGAGTGAGTGGGAAGACCGGACCTCCTTTAATCGTCGGAACGATTTGAAAGAGGAAGAAGGCAATGTTACGCGGCGGTCGCCGCGCATGTGTCGCGGGAGCCGCGTGGACGGCGCGCACTTGGTGCGACTGTTTGTTGCCGGGCGACTCGCGGGTTTGTTTAAGAAGAATTCCAACGGAGAGCTGTCACGTCGCGCCACGACGATTCGTCCTGATATAATTTGTATTCTGATATCATTTGTATTCTGAGTGATAATAAAGTGTTTTGAGAGAGAGACCGTGCTTCTTCTTTGCCGCGAATGCGCGCGTAAATCTCCTGGCCGGCGATAGTGCCGTCTCGCCTCCGCGGGCGCAACAATATATTAAATTTGTAAATATATNCCTGCCGTTACAACAATAAAGAAATTAACTTAGCATAAAAATGCTTGACACAGCTTAGGTACATTTCACAAAGAACTGTCAAAAAATTATTTGAAAATGCATGAGATTTCATTTCGTGAGACAAAAACATTGCATTGTTGTTTTTCAGATGATTCGACGAATCGCGCTGTCAACTACATAGAAATCGCGACATGTAAAACATTTGTAGATTGCGCGTTGAAAGTAAACACATCGAAGCTTTCATCAATGTGAAAATATATAATGCACAATTGGTAAAAAATAATATAAAAAACCAATATAAATTATTACAAAACAATGAACTGCAATATGTTATTAAATCTATTGCCACATAAAGTTGTATACACAATTATTTAAAAACTATATATACAGTATTTATATAATTATATTCTTTTTTCTGGGGATTTACAATCTACATAATATTATTTATAATAATAAAACATCTCTGATGCATTACATATTTGTATTAATTATTAATATGAGTTACCTGCGATAACAAGTTTTTAAAACATTGAAAAATCCATATAAGGTATTAGTAGTTATAGTAGAAGGGTTCTAGACCAGGTTTCCAATAGGCGAGTCATGTTCTGTCCTTGTCGATCTAATGGCGTTTCGAGCAGTTCAAGCATGCCTTACTGGAAACACTGTGACGTTCGATATCCGTATTGGGAACGGTTGCATACGCGCGTTGCCGTTCGAAACGCGCGCTACGCTTGGCGCCGCGACCCCACAATCGTTTCAAATAATTGTTGATCAATTAGTCGCAGCGATTGTCGCGCGGTTAAAATCGAGAGAAAAGGGAGGCGCGACGATCGTAATGTTTGTACAGAGCAAATATCAACCAACAACAAGTTTTTGTCCATCATCAAGGAGCTTTGCAGAGCGGGAGTGATTATAAAGTGAACCATTACTCAGCGAACATCGACAGTTTCATTTGCGCGCGATGAGCGTCAACAAGTTTGGGTCACCGTTGCAAAGTCGCGGTTACGACTACAATGATGGAGAACGCTTTCGACTAGCTAATTTGCGCAATTACGTACGCAACAACGCTCTCTGTTTATCCACATCATCGTCGTCACCTGAATATGATGCGAAGGATCGTGTGATAACCCGATTGACGAAACCGCGAAACAGTTCCGACGCCGCGACCAAGATTTACGTAAACGACGCTTTCTCGCGAGCGTTCGACGCAGCAGTTATCTTGGGCACAAACGTGGACGCGCTCTCGACCATTACAACAAACTCCATAGCAAAAATTAAGGAAACTGTGGATAATTTGCGAGATAGCTCCGCGACTGCGTTGTCGCGCGCTGAGGCAACGGAAAAGCGGTTGTCGAGCTTGGAGAAGAGCGCGACACATTTCATTGATCGACGCGAGTTCAACGATCTTAAAAAATATAAGGAACAGTCAAGCAAAGAAATGACCGAGGTCGTTGAGCATCTGCGAACAAACGCATACGACCGATTGTTGAAGCTGAAGATGAGACCGCGGGGTGCGGATCCGCGTGAGATAAAAGACTTGAGAAAAGATCTGGATCAATTTCGCAAAGAAGTGGGAGAGGCGATTGAGACTCTGCGACGAAACGCGTACGATCGATTACTGCAGGTAAAAAATTCGCGCACGGAAACAGAAACAAAAAAGTTACTAAGTGAGTCTCTGTAAAACGAAATGTGAGCGACATGTTGTACATCGTTTGCAAGACACACAATACGTGGAACTCGTGTGAGAATCAGCGAGACAAGCAGCTATAATTAAGATGAGCGTCAAGAAGAGAGAGCTCGCAGAGGAGCTGCACGCGCCCGCGCGACGCAACTTTCCGCGCATACGAGTAGTCGTATGTGGTTACGACGATCTGTGACAGGCCGTCGAGATGCTGCCTTAGGTTTTCGCCAGAACAATAGTCACAATTACATTCTCACAGTCCTCAATGTGTTGAGCAAATACGCGTGAGCGGTGCCGCTTAAGAGCAAAACGCAACCGTCTTAGCCAAAGGTTACACTCCAAACTGGACCACCGAGATGTTCTGTGTTAAAAAGGGTGCAAAACAAACTTCACCAACGTCCTATCTGCTCGAGGATTATCGCGGTGAACTTATAGCCGGTGGATACTAGAAGCGAGCGATATCGCGCTTCGGTCGCTGGGGGGCGTTCGCGAAGATCTTTTGCGCCGACGATCGTTGCCCGACGAATCTGCAAACCGATCGCGGCAAGGAGTTCTACAACGCGGATGTGGAAAATCTTATGCATCGGCACGGTGTCAATCACTACTCCACATATTCTGTTATGAAAGCGTCGGTGGTTGAGCGTTTCAATCGCACGCTCAAGAACAACATGTGGAANATGTTTACGCTAAACGGATCGTATCGCTGCATCGACGATTTGCAGCGACTTGTAGCGGAGTACAACGCGCGCAAGCATCGCACCATCGGCGCGCGGCCGATCGACGTAACACCGGCTTCGAGCGAGCGACTCCTGTGCACGGTTTACAGCAACGTCAAAATCGCAAGACCGGTGTGATTCAGAGTCGGCGATCCTGTGCGCGTGAGCAAGTACAAAACTGTCTTTGCGAAGGGTTATACTCCAAAACTGGACCACCGAGGTGTTCTGCGTTAAAAGGTGCAACAAACTTTACCAGCGACCTACCTGCTCGAGGATTATCGCGGTGAACCAATAGCCGGTGGNTTCTATGGGCGCGAGTTGCGCGCGGTTAAACATCCGGACGTGTATCTAGTAGAAACGGTTCTGCGTCGTCGAGGCAACAAGGTGTTGGTCAAGTGGTTGGAACTAAACAATTCACACAATTCCTGGATAAATAAGAACAATGTGGTCTAATATTATTATGTTATGTGTATTTTCTTTTATTCTTATATATTTTATAAAGTAGTACATATGTTTTTTTAATACAATGAAAAACAATTACATATACTTCATTTAATGTGTATTATTATATCATCAACGTTATCTAATCTAAGTTAGGGATTTTGTAGTGGCCCCACGGTAAGGTGTCGGTCGATCCATGGATGATGTACCGCTTGTCGTCGTGCGGACTCAGAGCGAGCTTCCGTTCCGACATGGTAAACATCTCGTGCAATTGAGATCGTATGCACGACTGCTGTCGCGTCAGTTCGGTTGCGTTCTGCAGACATTGCATGTAGTCGTCGAAAGTCGTTCTCGCAACGACGCTTCTCTTTACACCTTTCACCTTCTTCGTGCACTTGNTGTCGCCCACTCGAGTCGCGTACATCTTCGCGCGCAAACCCACAAACTCCGTCATAACAGCTCCGTTGTTCTCATCCTTTATAAGTCCCGGCACCTTCTTGTTTGCGCGAGGCATGTTGTATGAATTGTCCGCTGGATAGTCGCTCGTATCGAAGCGAGCGATATCGCGCTTCATATCCTCGTACACATCCTCGCACTTTATGTGGTATATCAAACTGTCGGTATCGGTGTAGAGGATCTTGCAGTCGTAACCGTACAACGGTGCCATGTGGTCGTAATGGAATTCGTACAGACAGGTCTTTGATATGTCGAGTATGCATATGCCAACGTACAACGGTTTGTTGAATAAAACTTTCAGACGACGCAGTTCTATGGCTACTAAATCTTCAGCNAACACGCTGCGGCTGTGGAAGTTTGGTTTTGCAATTAGCGCCTCCGCACCGCATCGTCCTTCCCATTTTGTAACGAGTCGTACGTCGGTGTACTCGCGCACGTTCTCCATTGTCTTCCCGAACACCGCGTTGTTCATAAGTTTATAAAGATTTTTTGCAAACTCGTTGGTGGCGTTCGCGCGGAATCGGGTATTCAGTTCGATGTATCCGCGCAGCCAAGGCAATTGCGAGAACCGCAGTACTCGATGTATTCGCGTCAGGCGAAGCCCGTATCGCAGACACTGCTGCAGGTTGAGGTAATGAATCACGTATCGCTTCTTGTTGAACACTGTNGCGAGCAGTTTGACGTGATTCTTTCCATGTTTACCNGGCGGCTCCTCACGCGTCGNACAAAAAGGCAGGTCTCTGTGCGCGTCGTGCAGTTCTTTCGGATACGTTAGATCGACCTCGAGTATGTAGCCAACGTTGCTGTCCGCCGCTACAGTTGTCACATCGAACTCGTACGCGTTCTCCACCCACGCAAAGTTACCATATGGAAGCGGTTGACACATCGCCCATCCGTAGAGATTGTTAACGTCGTAGTACATCAGATACGACGTCGGTTCGGATGGATCGTACGATTGCGCGTACCTGTTGTTGGCGCGGGCGTATCTGTTTAAACATTGACTCAGACCACCGCGTATGCCGCGTTCCACGAACATCACCATGTCGATGTCTGTCAACAGCTCGAACGTCACACAAGTGTGCTTCAACATAGCGTCCCATGTATATCCCGGCAGCGTGTAGTAGTGCGCGGGATCCAGTCCGTAACTCGCGAGGCACTCGCGACAAAAGTTTTCGAATACATCGGCCAGCAAAAGTACGTCTGTCTTCAGATACAGATCGCTGTAAGATCCCAAATCGTCGATGTTGAATCGTTGCCATACGTTCGTCGCGTGCGCGTACTCGCTCTCCGTCACAGCCTCACCGGTCAGCGAACTGTAAAACGCCGCGCGCGGTGGCAAACTTGTTTCCAACAATTTGTCGACGCTGTCCACATATTCGTATGGAAACACATCTTTTCGCGTGAGCAGTTCGAAGTCCTCGGTGGAGAGATCGTTGAATTCCGTTCGAGTCACTCGCAGTTCGCTCTTGTCGAGATAGGACGCAAGCTTTTCTAAACTTGTGCTCAGAAATTTGTACGAATCAATGAACCGCAGTTGCACGCACTTCTGATTGTCTTCATCTCGAGTACTGCTCACATGTTTCGTAAACGATATGTAGGTCTCTTTTGTCACGGGCAGCACGTTGATCTCACCCTCGAAAGCGGTGGCCACATCCTTGATAATAAAATGCGCGTCGTATCCCGACAAGTTGTGGAACACAACGGGATTAACGTAGACCTGTTTGTAATTCAGATTGCACGCGGAGTGCGCGGGTCCTCTGAAGCGTCCCGTCAGATGACAGTGATCGCGCACTCTCGTGTCATCTCGCTCGAACGGTCGTTCGCAAACGTGGCAACACTTGGCGTTCCTAAACCGCTCGAGCTCCGCCGGTGTGAGATGGTACATTTGTCGCAAACAAGATCTTCGCACGTTTCGCGAGATCGTGCAGTTCGTTTACGAACCACTGCACACAGTTCTTGCCTCTGTGAGATCTGTATCCGATGTCAATGTGCTCGCAGCTCGCGTAATAACCGATGCTGAACACGCTGTGTCTTTGGTACTTGTGCGCGCTCGATGCGTTCTCCTCTTTGTCCTGTTTCTCGAGAACGCACTCCAAGTCGGCGTACACCACCATTGGAACCCGTTCCTTGCTGTTGTAATTCTCAAATTGCAAACAGTTCTTTCCCTCAGCGGGAAGAACGACTGCGCTGTTGTTCAATTGTTCACAATCCACGGTGTGTACCGCCAGCTTATCGCTCGTGTGGAAGTAGTGTAGACATCTATGTACATGTTGCAATAAACAAACAATACACACAACATTGATTAATAAGTCCACCATCTCACAATTAGAAAATTACTTTTTTTTGTTCAACATTGTTGTTACTGTTATACCAATCGTTTGTACTTACCGATCGCATATGTACTTTGCTGTCTTCTTTTTGCTCAATTGTGAGCTGACTAATCGCGATATATGTTTTATCCACGCGAAGTGTCCCACGTGTCCATTGTGTTGATCGGGAACATACAACAGATTCACATGCTTCTCCTTCTTGTTCGATGTGAGTTGCAGCGGCACGTATCCGTGTTCCTGTTCCGCCGCCGTAAACACGGTTACATACACGTTGTTGTTGCGTTCGAAACGCGTGATTTGATGCAATGTCATTGGAAACTCTATTCCATCAAGGTTCAAGACACTCGCGTACGCGGGATACTGTGATATT